GGGGTGGTGTGTGGGGTGGGGGGTGGGTGGGGTGGGGTGATTTCGATGAATCACAATACATTAAGCAAGTGTTGGGACATACGTATTGCATACATTTGCAGTAGATGGGTAGAGTTTGAGGGGTTTTCTTTTATTTCTTTCTTTCTTTAACCTGCAGTACGTCCTTAGCCCGGTTTATTGCACTCACCATAAGTGGCATTTTACCTGAGATGGAGTGTCAGTCGTTTAATGATGTCAAGTGATGGACTTTATAAGATTTAAAATCTGAGCCTCGGCTACATGTGGAAATTATTGAAACCTGGTAACATCATGTATTGTATAACAATGTCTGAGAGAGCATTTTTCTCTCCTTTTTAGCCACAAGACACTGCACTAACTCCAATTTGTTCAGACGTTCTGCAGTAGCAGCTGCAATAACAACATCAAGAAAGTTTGCTTATGAGCCAAATAAAATTGCACAAAAAAGCCATCATTTCACTACTAGACATCTATTAACGAAAACATGCGGTTTCATTCCTCCTTAATTGAAATGAGGGCAGTCTCGTCATGATCATTTTGACAGGTGCAAAGCTATTAACAGTACCCTCCATAATGCTCACGTCTATTCAACAACCAGTATTCCCTGCAGTGTAAGCCTTCTGGAGTAAGTTAAATCAGCTGATTAACGTGATACAAGTGGGGAGTAAAATAATTACATCCAAAATATAACAGTCCTCCATAGCGGACCAATTAATCAGGTTTTCAAAATATTTACAAAAAAAAAAAAAAAAAAAAAAACTCTAATCTTACCTAAACCAAAAGGCATGAAGTATTCAGGCTCCTTGACTTCTCCGCTCTCCGCCAGGAAGCGCTGCGGTCGGAATTTCATTGGCTCCGGCCACAGCTTCTCGTCCATGAAAACGGAGTTCAGGTTGACGCTGACGTAAGTGCTTTTGGGGATGACGTACCCCCTGAAGGTGACGTCACACGTGGTCGCGTGAGATGCACCAAGAGGGAACCGTCCCGTGTTTCGTCGTATCACCTCAAGTACTGTGGCCTCGGTGTACGGTAGCTGTGGACGGAGATTGTAGGACAAGGGGTTGTTCTCTAGCACCTGAAACATGATCATTGCTTTTGAGAAAGTGACCAAATAAGTTACAAATCTATTTTTCGTTAATTATTTTATATTTTCCTTCAAGTTATTGCTTTCCATCATTGTATTGACGATGAAATCAAATTTTGTTTAAAGAAAAACAAAAATAGACACGGATAATATAAACACTTGATCCTGCTTTGGAAATGTAGAATTTTGATAACTTCATCCTGGCAAGGTCAATTTGGATTGTAAGAGAGAGTACTCGAAGCTTAAACTGAGATAGCACAAATACCTGTTGAAGTTCAGAGTAAACTGTCGTCTGCACATCTTGGTGTGTGGCCAGATAAAGAAGGCACCACTTCATCATGGTTGTTGCATTCTGGGAACCGGCCAGTATGACGTCAAGGACGACCGACATCAGCTGATCAGTATTGAAGGTGTCCGAGTGGGGCGACTGGTGGATCTTATGCATATAAGCATCTAAGAAATGGCGGGTTTTGGTGGGGTCATAGGAGTCGAGTTGGGGCTTAACGATCTTCTCCACAGTCTTCAAGATCTCGTCTGCCAGCGCGTCGAAGCGTCTAGCCGACGGAAAGAACCGAGCAATCCATATGAAATTAAAAGCACCATTTGCAAGTTTTAGCGCGTCTGAAATGAGACTCAGTAACCGTTGTATGTCTTCATTATCGAAATCATATCTCTCCCCAAAAAGCACCGAGCACATGATGTTGGCAGCGGCAACGTTCATTAGTTTGGCAGGGTCAAAAGGTCGCCCGCCAAACGTTTGAATTCTGTCCGATAAGTGGCGAGATTCTCGCTGGATGATGGACTCCAGGTTTTCCTCGTACATCAGTTTTTCTGTGAACTGTCTCTGGTGGCGCCAACAGGGGCCGTAGTCGACGCTGTGGATACCTGGAAAAGAAAAATTAAATATGTACAGAATTATGTATAAAAATAAAGCACTACTTTTCTTTCTTTTTATTATCGTCATAATTATATTTTTGGGGGGATGGGGTATATATTACTTAAAGTATAGAAAAAACGTGTTTGAGGGCATTGAGCACAGTGACCTGACAGATCCGTGGATAAAATATGGCGACCCACTGAAATGCTTGCCGCTGATTACCCGCTTATACACTGAACATATTCCCCGCGGGGATTACTCAATAAGCTTTCAAGTGAGTCTCAAATTACTATGTACATGCATTTTCTTTATTCTTTTGATGCAGTGAAAATTACAACTGCATTAACATAATAAAGAAAATACATCGTAATTTGATATTTCGTTTGAATGCAAGTAAAATGAACCAAAGCCAAATTTCTTCCAAAAGAGAGAGAGAGAGAAGGAGGGTGGAAGAGAAATGGAAGAGAAAGAGTGTGTGCGAGAAAGAGGGGTGGAAGAGAGAGAGAAAGAGAGGGAGATCCCTGTCGCTAGGTGGAGTTCCTGTAGTGTCGTTAAGCAGACGATATACTAAGTTGGGTAGCTCTAGGCTAGGTCGGCCTGACGTTACTAGAAATAACACTACCGAACAAAACCAGCTGTTTTTAAAACTTTGATCGAGACAGGAAATCGCTTTATAACTAGCTTTCTGGATTCTACTGTCCTCAGTTTAATATGTTTATTGGACCGATGTCACGTTCAATACAATGTGGTTCAAACAGTTTAATAATGCATGACCAAATTTGTACCATAAATTGATCAATGGATTGCGTTTCCCGTCGAATTCTTTGGTAACCTCTTCGATTTTTTCTTGTTTGGTTTAGGGTGGAGGCGGGCTGTCGTCTGCACTGTTAGGTGTGGTAAACATTTTAAACTCATTTTGTTTTTATCCACGTATAGATTGGAACAATATCACACATGTTCACATAAGCCAAGGAACTACATTGTTATGTTGCATAGTTAAATAGTTTAATCATTATATCCAGAGACAATGACAGACCTTAATATAAAATTGTCGTTTAACAAACTTCAATTTAACAGAGTCAAATCGAATTCCTTTACAGTCAGTATTTGCCCCGAAGACATCTTATTTTGTAAGTCATAAACATGTTTTCCTACTAGATATATTCCTATGCACGCAGTGCTCGATATGCAATAATTCATTAGTAACAATGATGACGCTTTGATAGGGGGCTGTCCGTGCATCTCTCGTAGCTTAAAATGGGGCACAACGGGGAAATGTGCAGTCCATGCACTGTAGTGGAGCAGTAGAATGTTTCAGCTGGTAATCTCACCCTTCTAAATGCCATGCAGAGTTTAATTTGGTCAGATATATTGAGTATATGCATGTAGAATCCTAGCTCCCTGTCACCAATGAAGGTGACGCCGCCGCCCTAATTTCTTATACACGGCCAAATGACAAGCGCTTCATTAATAACTGAAGGACAGTTATACAGTATATATAGCAGGCCCGTAGTCGGGGGGGGGGGGGGGGGGGGG